TATTTATTTTATTGAAAATTGTTCAGTTTTAGTATAAGATATTGAATAATGCGTTAGGCAACATTGGAAAAAAAGATTCTATACAATAATAGTAGCAGTATTTTTTCTTTTCTTTACACTCACAAATAATGAATACTTCGAAAAGAAAAATTAGAATAGATTTATTCGAAAAAAGTCATAAATTGTAAGTAAAACAATAAAATTTCTAATAAAATTGTTTTATTACATTTTTGTCAATTATCTCCGTAATGTATTATTATTTATTATTTATTAATATTTTATGCATAGTAATAATAGTAAAAATTATTGATTTTTTCATCAATTAGAATTAATCTCTAAACTTTAAGTATTGAAAATATTACTTGAATGAAAAAAAGAAATGATTTAAATTGCGAATTTTAGTCTTAGTTTTAGCAATTTTAATCAAATAAAAATATTCAATTAATAATTTATTCTTATTATTTATCTATTCTTGTAACGATCATATATAATTTTATTGTTGTCCAAGAATTTTATATTTTATTGTCACATTTCGCAGATTTGTATGTTGTTACTATGATATATTTATAAAAACAAATAAACAATCACATACTAATATATTGTCCTAGAATATTTAAATGTAGGACACTTTTAAAAGATGGATTCTAGATATTAAAACGATAAAAAAGATCATATACACATATATCCGATAAGGAATAATTAAGTTATAAGCATTTTAAGTTTATATTAGATAGAGCGAAATGATGAAATAGCGAAAACGTTCGTTTATGTACGGGCATATTGCAATACGGAGTATTGCAATGTCTGTATTGCTGCGTAGCGGAATAAAAGTAAATATACTGATACTTTTTTTTATATATAATTGATTATTTCAAATGAATTTTAGTGTAATATAATATAATGTATGTAAGTAATTCCTTATTTAACAAAAACTTAACTCGAATAAGTTTTAGTAAATTTCAGATTAAGTTTTAGTAAATATTAACATATATATCACTTTATAAATCTGTAAATAAATTATTTTATGATACAAATATATCACTTAAATCCATAATTTTTGTATAACTCAATCTGCTTATTTACCAAAATCCATAAGAGCAAATCAAAACACATTCTTACAACATTTTAGATTAGTAAAGTTGAATGTGTGTACATATATAAAAAGTAAAAAAAAATTATTGCTCTATTCCAGTACATTTGTACAATAGAATATTTAATATATATAATAAAATATATATAATATATATTTATTAACAATAAATGAATTTATTAATAATAAAAATGAAATTTTTTTTAAAAATTTGAGTTTATTTTTTCCAAATAAAAATCTAATAGAATAAGAAAATATTCATGAATATAATTTTTTGAAAATTAAAGAAAAATATTTTTCAATAAACATTTGTTCATAAAATTAAAAATACAATAACTTTTAAAAAAGATATATTTTACTAAAAAAGAATGCTATGATCATAAATCAAATTCAACTTCCTAGGAAATTAATGGTATTTGTCAATAATTTTTAATAAAAATTTGAAAATAATTATTTTTTTAAAATATTTTCATAAATATAACAAAAATCAATATTTTGTATTTATTTATTTTCTAAATCTAATATGATAAATAATATTTATGAACAAATTCAAATTTAGCACACGAAAATAAAAGGAAAGACATAAGAAGTTCTCTATTATCAAATAATAATATTCTGTTAATGTGTTTTATCTATGTTATTATTTTATTAATCATTTTTGTATAAACAAATGAAATTTGTAGATTGAATTTTAAACTACTAATTATCTTTTTCTATATTATCAACAAAGAAAATTTTATATAAGTATATTAGTTTCGATAAATAACGAAAATTGTGCTATCATTTTGTCGCGATGTAATTTGTAATTGAATAAATTCTTATAATAAGAGTTTACCGAGTTTATCTTTATATGTACTTTTAACTTTTCGTTTAAATAATTAGAATTTCTGTTTAAATAAATAGATTTAATCATTTGTATGTATAATAATTTTAAATATATATGTTAATTGAATATATATTGATAGAATATATATTAATAATTGATAGTTAAATATATATAAATTTATTTAATTAAGTATTAATGAACATTTTCATGATATATTCAAGTTATTCAGTTTGCTCATAACAAATTCTACAGTAATTTTTTGACTTACCAGTAATTCTTCCAAGATTATATTTGTATCTTTTCCTCAAAGTGTATCCAATGTAGCCACAAGTATGTGCACCAAGACTATGTCCAATGCAATGCATTTTCAAAGGATTTATTCCTCCAATTTCAATCAATTGATAAACTAAACGAGCTGTCATTGCACCGATTAATCTTGTATTGGCCACAGCTTGAGTGTATGGCGGACCTGCACCAGCAATCCAATTCACTATTATTACGTTGCAATCTTCTTTTACTAGTAATTCTTTCATAGTTCTCTGTAAAAAATAATTTTTTAATAATAGTAAAATTAAATGTAAATTAAAATTATAATGAATAATAACGAAAAAAATTATGAATAAGAAAATTAATAAAAAAACCTCTTACTGAGAAAAATGAAAATTAAGAATGAAATTTGATGATTTCATGTGTCAAAAATAAAATAATTATAATAAAAATTTGAAAAATCATAATTTGTTTCATAAACTAATATATACAATTAAAAAATTAAAAAAATTAAATCAAATTAAATAAATTAAAAATTAAAAATCAATTAAAAAAATTTTTGTATGCAGCACTAGAATTTATTAAATTTACCAAGAAAAAGATTAAAAATAAATAATTTTTATATTATTATATATAAAAATATAATTATTATTAATGAAAAAGAAAAAATATACAATTATTTGTTAAATATAAAAAATAAAAATTAAATGTTAAATATAAAAAAAACATAACAAAAATAATTAAAAAGATTTGCATACAAAAAAATTCAATTAGTTCTAAGAATTCTATAAAATGTTTACAAATAAGATTGAAACAAAAATTAAAAATAATTTAATAGATAGAAAAGATCATATTGTGAAAATTTTAATAAAAATGGAAATTCTTATTAATTAGACAATTAATTAGAAGAGAAAATACAATGTTAAGAAAAATTGCACAATAAATTATCTTCTTTGTAATATATTTGTAATATATTGTAATATATTTGTCAAGGATATAATATCAAAGATAATATATTAACTAAAAATTAGAATCATATCATATAAGCATGTCATTTTAAAAACAATCAGATATGATTTGGAAACAAATGCTATAAAATTAATATTAATAGAAATTATAAAGAACAAGTAATACTTGAAACAGTATAAAATATAATAAAAAAAAAAAGTACACAAAGTATAACAATCATATAATAAAATGAAAATCTTTTATAAGACAAATTAATAAACAAAGATGATTAGAATTTATTTTTAATTTTAATAAAAAAAAAAATTTGAAAAAACTAAGTAACAATGGATTCTTGTATCGAACAATTAAATATAAAGTGATATTATGAGTGACTTATCTCAATATTTTGAAGAAAAAAAATTTTGATTTATAGTGAAAATTAAAAGAAAATTTAGAAAAATCATTTATTTTTTTTTCAATAAGATAATTTCAAATTATTTATATTCATATGACGAAAAAGGAAATATTAAGAACAGATAATATAGGGTGATATTGCGTAAGAACAGTGCCGTTTTTGAAAAAAGAATTTAGAAAATTTTTAGAATTGTATATTTTTTAGAAACAGTAAAAAATACACTTCGGGCTAGAGTATAAATATGATTTTGAGATTTGAGATATTTTCTAGCTACACCAATCTCAACAGTATTATCTTGAGAAAAATTATTACAACTCACGGATCAATTTTCTGGAAACAGCGAAGTGTCCATAATTCTTCAACCTAATTCTAAAAATTTTTCTTAGATTAATAGTATCGCTCAAGCTAGAATTTAATTCACAATATCATTGGTCGTTTATATATATTGAATCGTTATATTTTATTGAAGATTTGTGAGATAAGCATAAAGAATATAAGCATTTGATAAAATTTAAAAAAAATCAGAACTTTGTAAACCATTAAACTTCTTAAATCATAAAAGCTTTTAAACCATCAAATCTTTAAATTATTATCTTAGAAATCTTCAATTTAGAGATATTCTCACATTTTTTGGACATCCTGTATGTACATAACATAAGTCTAGTGAATAAATTGAATTATAAGTTTGTATTACAGATTGTTTGCGCCTGCAGTAATAATATTATAATGAATTATTAAATGTATGTATACATGTATCAAATATTCTTTTGACTGACGTGTATATGTGTATGTGAAGAAGCTGGTATTGGTGATTGTTAATGTTTTTCTTAAAGATAAATGAACTGTAATAATGCGGTTACATGTTCGAAGCATATATCTATAAAAAAGCGAAGTCTCTCACAATGTGACATCAATATTCGACGATCAGAACACGATGTGATGTTAGAACAAAACTATCTATTTGTCGTATCCGGTAATCAGATTATGACATGTTCACAATGAAAGTTTCTTTACAAGTAATAATAAACAATTGTATCCGACGATTAGAGCATGATGTGTTCACAAACTATCTAATTGTCGTATCGTGTCAAACTACGACGTATTCACATGAGACTTTCTTCATCAGTGAAGTCCTTTCTAATTCAATTGGAGGATTTCAATGTTCTCGTGGAACACATTAAATAACAATAATATCGCGATTAGTGCCTGATTCGTGATACCCTCAAGAAAAATTTCTAATTTATAAGAAAAAAATATAAAAAATAATAAAAATAATTTATAAGAAAAAAATTCGAACTAGAATGATGTTGATTGCCGATGAATTAACTGTGTCTGAAGTATGTTACTCTTGGGATTGGACTCTGTTCCAGTCTGACAGACTGAAGTGTGTCAAAAATATTATCAATTATAAGTAGCGATTAAATTCTCAACAACGACAGTCTTCTCAGATCATTCTTTTAGTTTAGATTTAATAAAGATCTGTGAACAATAATAACAGAAAAGAATTTCTATGAGGAATTTCTCCGAATAAGCTATTTATAAATCTCGTGAGCAATAAGTGCTAAAAAAAATTATACAAAAAAATTTTATATTATTTAATAAATTTAATTATTGTATCATGTGACTTTTTATAGATTTTTATAAATTTTTTAAAATTTGTGTATCAATAATGTGTATATGTGGTTATAATGTGCAGTTATATTTCTTTTTAAACTTTTATTTTTGAGCATCAATTGAAACTATTTTGGATGGTGAAAATTGAGAAAATCATAAGATAAAATAATTTTATAAAAAAATCATAAAAAATAGTTTTCGAAATATGCATTTTTTTGTCGAATGTCTGCAATACATAATGCTAATACTAGCATTATTGCTTTCTAAATATTTTCTCATTCATTTTTTTACATTTTTCATTATATATTTTATCATATTTACTATATTTTATTATATTATTATATAATTTATCATATTTAAATAATTTCTCTTCGTTATATTATGTATTGAAATAAGAACAATTCTATTAAAATAAAGAATTCCATACTTTTTTTTTAAAATCTAAAAAAATCAATCAATTTAAGTCAACTAAATGCGATAATCAATATATTGATCCATGTATACAAATTTTTTTTTTTATTATATTGATGTCAAATACGATATTTGAGTAAGTATTATGTATATAGTATTATATAGTATTATTATACTAATGCTTCATTCTGAATAATGATGTAAATTGTTTTATATCTGACGGAATATTGTCATTTTGCAAATCGTGAATTTCAACATATATCGATATTATTCGGCATTTAATATATAGGGAAATAAATATATATTAATAACAAGAAGTTACTTGATTAATATTACATATTTAATTTTGTAATCTTCAATAGGTATTTTTTATAGATTTTAATATATTGAATATTATTTGCAATATTATTTGCAAATGTATTTTCTAGAATAAAAAATGCAATTTTTTAAATTTGGAAATGTTTTAAACTTTTAGAATAATTAAGTATTCAATTTCCTTTGGCATGAAATGATTCTAAACTTTTTCTACAAAATAATATAAATAATTATTATATTTAAATAATAAAAAGATATCAAAATACACATTTTTAATATTTTTTAATTTATTTCAAAAACTAAAAATCTAAAAAAAAATTTAATTATATTATTTTAATTTTATTATTACGTTAGAACAAATTCTTTTGTTAAAAAAAGCATCAAGAGACAATATAAGATCATTTTTGTTTTTAATAGAAGCTAATATAATCTAATAAAACAATATATATTTTATTCAATTAAATGTACTATATATTATATAGTATATTATATATATACTATATA